GAGAGAGAGAGAGAGAGAGAGAGAGAGAGAGAGATAAAGAGTGTGAGAAAGATAGAGATATGGAGAGGTGGTTGGGAGACGAGTGGGAGTGAGAGTGGACGATATATGATTCTAGGGGACCGGTGATTAAGCAAGATGTATGAATGAATTCCTACATTGTTAAGCAATATGTTATTATAATTAAAATGTAACATTATTCCTAGTATAATAAATTTAATTAAATCACGGAGAATCCACCGTGTATAGGGGCCTACCTTGAACCGCACAATGTTGTTGTCTATGTCACGTGCCTCAAAAACAAGTAGCTCCACCGCCGTCGAATAAAACCCGCGAGCCGCCGACCGCTTCTCACGCCGCCTAGCGGGCAGCTGAAGAAACACCCTGAAGCCCTCCTCTGTCTCTTCCGCACTCTGCACCGTGTAGCCGCTACCCGCCGCCAGGTGACATCGCGGGCTGGATGCGTTGCCTGGCGACCAGACGCAACCTTTCGCCTCGCACTCGGACTCGGTGACCTCCCCTTCAGGGATGCAGTTCAAGCGATCGGCCGGCGGCACTGCAGCATCCCTCGCAGCCTCCTCCGCATCCTTCACAGCATCCTCATCGAGTTTTCTCTGCCGCGCTACTCCGTAATGCACGCCGACGGCGACGGCAACGATGACGATGATGACACATATTGCCAGCAGGCATAACAGCGGGCTGTAGCGGCGGGAGGCGGGCGACTCCTCTCCCGGGTAGTCCCCGTAGCCACCTAGTTCCCCTCCTCTCCGCTTCCCTCCGACAAGTTCGAACATCTCCGTGTGTCTGCCCATGACGGTGAGGCTACGAGGGTGGTTCGCTGTTCAATCGCCTTCCAGATGGAACTTGTAGTGGTTCAGAACTTACTGGAAGTACAGACACAGACACGTACAGGTCTCACAATAGACACAGACACGTACAGATCTAACCACAGACACAGACACGTGTAGGTCTCACAATAGACACAGACACGTACAGATCTAACCACAGACACGTACACGTACAGATCTTACCACAGACACAGTCACGTACAGATCTCACAATAGACACAGACACGTACAGATCTAACCACAGACACGTACACGTACAGATCTAACCACAGACACAGACACGTACAGATCTAACCACAGACACGTACACGTACAGATCTAACCATAGACACTGTCACGTACAGATCTTACCACAGACACAGACACGTACAGATCTAACCACAGACACAGACACGTACAGATCTAACCACAGACACAGACACGTACAGATCTTACCACAGACACAGTCACGTACAGATCTAACCATAGACACTGTCACGTACAGATCTTACCACAGACACAGACACGTACAGATCTCACCACAGTGCGTGTAGAGAGACCGCATGGGCGTGATCAGCAACACACACACACATACACAACACACAGCTGCAGCAACTGGTTCCCTACACTACCAGCATCAGCATCAGCAGCAGCAGCACCAGCATCAGCAGCAGCAGCACCAGCAGCAGTAGCAGCGGTAACAGCAGCAGGAGCAGCACCACTGTTCCCCTCGTATAGAGATGAGACGGCGACGTCACCGGACTGGTAACGACACGGTGGTGGGAGAATTCGCGCGAGCAATGGAGCGATGAAGAAAGGATAGGGTGTGGTAGGAGCAGGAAATATCCCACGCAAACACGCGTGAAGGGTGAGCGGGTGGCAGGGCCAAGGAATGTCCTACACAACCACACGAGAAAGGACAGCGGGTGGCAGGGGCAGGAAATCTTCCAAACAACGACACGAGAACGGAGAGGGGGTGGTAGTAGTAGAGAATTCCCCAGGCGACAGAGCAATGAGTGATCGATGTAGACGATGGTGGGAGGGGTGTGTGAGAAAGGGATAGGATTAGGGTTAGGGTTAGGGTTAGGGTTAGGGTTAGGGTTAGGGTTAGGGTTAGGGTGAGGAAGCTATTAAGTGTTTCAGCAGTCATCAGTCAGGCGTGGGTTGCCTGCCCCCAGCCACTCTGCAACGCCACCGATGGTGAGCACAGCTCTCTCTCTCTACACACGTGCGTACGTGTCTGGTTCCCCGTGTATTCCAAGCAGAGGAACACCGACTAGAGAGGAACAGGAGCAGGTGTATGTAGACAAGGTGAGTGTGTCTCTAAGGTGGGGGTTAGGGCGGCAGACCGTGACTTACGGCCGACAGCCTTGCAGGCAGGTAGACGGGTTGATTTACAATCCCCCCCACCCCTACCGCTTTGAAGGTTACTACTTGTTTTTCGGCTGCGAGCGAAACGCATGCTTGAACAGAACAAACGTGAATTCATATCAAGACGAATAAAACCTCTTATATTAAGGTATATATAAACGTCTTATATAAAGGTCCTTTATTAACGTTTATATTAAGACATATAAAACGGCTCATTCGCTGAAATTTGTTTTATAGTGGAATCAAGAGCTCCTAATACATTGTTAGCTCTTGGTTGAATGCATGTATATGTATGGATTACTGTAGAGTGTAAGTAGTACAGCCCAACCAATATTGCTGATCACACTTCATTGCATCATTGCACGCACGCACGCACGCACGAACGCACGCACGCACGCACGCACGCACGCACGCACGCACGCACGCACGCACGCACGCACGCACACACACACACACAACGCACGCACGCACGCACGCACGCACGCACGCACGCACGCACGCACGCACGCACGCACACACACACACACACATCTATGCACTGATATGCAACACACATGCTCCTGCTACTAGATGTTAATATGTCCTCTATCTGCTACTGGTGCGTGGCTAAGCATGTCTTGTTAGCGATTTTTGCACATGCAGAATTTTCCTCATCTGTTTTGTCGACTGTTTATTAAAAGTATCGTTGCAAAACTGGTTCTGTGTTAGAAAACACTTATGTTTATGTTAGGGTTAGAAAACACTTGTGTGGACCTCATACGAGAGCGGAGGTCACACGCTTGCATTCTTCACGATCGTTTGCGCGACAGAAGAATAAAAGACAGCAGATATATTTCTTTGCGTGCAAGTGTTATATTACTCGTGGGAAAACACAAATCGAATCACGAGTATCAAATATTTAAGGAATGAGCAGCGCCTAATTAAAATAGACGTCACTACCATCCACATGGTGCGTCTGACTCTGCGGGCATATCACATGCTCGCACGCACACACGCACGCACGCACGCACGCACGCACGCACACGCGCACGCACGCACGCACGCACGCACGCGCGCACACAAAACAATTATTCGTTAGTAAAACATGTGTAATAATAAAATATCGCGTAAAAATCTAGACCACAGAATCATTAAATAACAGCATCTATGGTGATTCCCAACCCTGCACGACCTTGCGTTGACCTTTCCGTGTCTACGGTCGTCAGACGTAAAATGATGACGATATCTTATAGTTATTGCATATTATCATAAGCTAACAATAGGTTTTATTAACTCTCGATTTTATCTCATAGATACAAATATGTAATTAAACAGATGATATAACAGATGGTTGTACGTCAGTATGAGTGCATTCATCTAGTACGGCTGCACAGTCGCACAGTAGTAGGGTAATAGACAATAACTTAATACAGTAGTATCAAGAGTAGATAAATAACATTTATTAACAGTTAACAACATTTAACAACAGTTAATAACAGTAACATAAGTTATTTATCTACTCTTGGTAGTATGTAACACTACTCAAGATGTCGGGTTACGTATTTGTTTCTAATTATCGGTATACAAAGCAGTGACGAACCATCTATATGCAGTGTGATTACATAATCACAACCTATGCACGCACGCACGCACGCACGCACGCACGTGAATTGAACAACTCTTTTACCTGTCAGTGGCTATGCGGGGAATACATGGCCGGGTTACCTGACCGGGATACTGCTACCTGGCTGTTACACCTGGCCGGGTTACCTGACCGGGATACTGCTACCTGGCTGTTACACCTGGCCAGCTTAACTGTGAGGATGATATGTTAGCAAGTTGAGCAAGATCAGCTGCTCATCAATTATGAAAAGCAACGTTGTTGTAACGATTCTTCTACTTTAATACGATTAACATTTCATGAGAGCTATCACTAACACCGTAGCAACGCATGATTGCACTATAGCAGATACAAATAAAAGAATAATCTATCGCAAAAAATATGATTAATTCAAAATTAGACAGCTATCACATTAGCCACTACAAACATTTCAAGTAATAACAAGCAAAGTTTATATATTAATTACCCGTGCTTAAAGTCATCCAATATAACCTGAACATACTAAATATTAATACATTTAATATCTAAATAATAATTTTCAGGATCAGCAATCAACATTGCTTTTACTATCGATACGTAATCAATAAACAACAACCATAGCAGTGAATGTAAGTATACACATGTAAACAGACTTTGTCCTTATTCTAGGCAGGTATGAATATACGTGGAGATCATCACTTGGGAAACCAATAGTCCTGGCGGGATCAATATTCGTAGAAAGATCAATATCAGGGATGATGATCAATAATGTTAAAATTACCCCTTGAGCAATTTATTGGACATCGATTAACACATATCACTGAGCAACGGTATTGGAATGTAACAACTATGGTTTTCTCTGTAACATATTAATTTTTGAGCAATGGCTTTACCAGCCTCTGAACATCTGAGCATCTTGTACCATCTAGAGTCATGCATCTTGCACTATCTAAAGCTAAGCACATATATTGTACTATCATGCGTTAACTATGTGTCATCTCCTATATATACTAAGCTAAACATGTATCACTCAATATCCTGCTGTGAGCATGTATCATGGATTACCCTCTGCTACGCGTGCATTATGTACTAACCTGAGCTAAACATCTATTGTGTTCATATTTGAACTAAAGATTTATTGCACACTAACGCACGAAG